CCTTCCCAGTGCTCAAGGAAATCCTCAACTTTCCCCTGGTCTGGGCTCTGGCTAAATCCTGATGGACTGGATGTGCCAAGATCTTTACCTGGGCACTGCCCAGCAAGTGTTAAAAGGCAGACTTGGAATGAAGGTGAGAATGGGATTTAATTATTTGCCAGGAACCCAATCCAGTGCAAGGCATTATTTAGAAACAATTTCAAAAATCTTAACTAGCCTATTTCATGAGCAGAAGCAGGCAATCTTAGCTTTAATATCTGGTTTCCAAAGTGTCTCTCTCACTTTAATCTGTCCTGGCTGTGGTCCTCCTACCCTGTCAGCTCCTCAAACGCCCTCCTTCCCCCTAAGATAGGCAGCTGACTGTGGGGACACTGAGTTCTGGTCTGGAAGTGGGAAGCCCTGCTCCCCTGGCCTCCCTTTCCAGCTACTGCTGAATGTTCAGGAGAGACAGAGCAATCCCCCCGCCCCTCCTCTCACCGCCCCCCTCCCGCCCGGTTCAATGCAGGAGGTGGGAGAAGGGTTCCTACTGAAAAATCGGTTCTGAGGAAGATAGGTCCTGGCTTCTGAAATTGAAGCTAGGAGTATTTTCCTGAAGAAGAAGATGTTTCAATGATGGTACTTCTCATCTGTTTTTCAAATTTAAATTTACAGTGTTTTTATGTTTATTAAGTCACGGAGACCCGTATCAATTCTTTAAAATAGTATAGCAGGTACTCAATGAATACCCATTTTGTAACTAGTTGTAATTTATTATAGGGGAAACTGAGGCTCGAGGAGGTTTTTCCAGGGCTATACAGACAAGTCTGGAGCTATAACTTGAAGCCAGTCTTCTGGTTTTCCTCCTCACTCCACATCCCCTTGGTCTCAAACAGAAAGAATCTGTTATAGACATTGTTTAGTGTCCACAGAACTATTCATGCCATAGTTCTGCTATATTATGGGTCAAAGAAGCTTTTCAGCCTGGCCCGAAGTCTTAACAGCCACAGATAACATTGTTTCAATGGAAAAATCAATTCTGAGTTGGAGCTTAATTCATCTGCAGATCGTTACAGCTTGGGTGCACATCTGTCTTTCTACAGGGATACATAACAGAGAAATGCTTTTTAATATAATGATTTACATTTATCAATAAAAATGCCACACACATATTTCTGTTTCTAGAGATCTTATGCTTTTTGGGCACCTATTTTTCAACAGAGTGTCACAAATTGGAAAGAGTTATTTGCACATACTTGAGGAAGGCCTTGAGGAGCATGTTCTGTAAGTTTGCTGATGATTATTAGCCTGTGTTTCTCTGGCTTCAGGGGAGGCATGTCAGAATCTTGAATTGGGATGGAACGCTCTTTTGAACTATACTCACAAAACCTGGAGTACTGGATACATTCTCTTTAGGGTGGTGAACTCTGTTCCAATTGCACAAATCACTCTTGCAGTGAATCACTGATGTTGAGGTATGGGTTCACCCCTCTGGAATGTTGGGGTATATATTGACTAACCATAGTCATTCTTCTAATCCTTCACCCTGCTTTATTTTTCTCTATCACACTTGCCTCTACTTAGTAGTACCATATTATGTATTTGTTTGTATGTCTTTTCATATATCTTCCCCACCAGAATGTAAGTTTTTTGAGAGTAGAGGCTTTGATATTTTATTTATTTATTTATTTTGATATTAAAATAAATAAATTTTATCAGACACTGCTCTATTCTAAGGTTTATATTGAGCACTTAATCCAGGAATATGGCCAGTGCTGATTGGATTAAGGAAGGACCTATAACCTGGGGGTGCAGAGGTAACAACAAATCTATGTGGGTTGAGCCAACAGATGTCTGGAGAATGTAAAGAAAGAAGTAGGGGCCATAGTTAAATGCTTTGATTAGAGTTATAAAGTCAGAAAAAGAGAGTAGTAGCCCTACCACTCTCCAGTAGTATAGCCCGTCTCTACTTGCAATTCTGCTCCTTTTCATTTTCTTGTAGTTTTTCAGCACAAACCCCTTGTTGTGTTTTTTTTTTTTTTTAGCTCAATGAAGTTTCTGTCCGTTGCAACTCCATGCCCTTAAACAGCAACAGAACTTCCCAAGAGAACTTTCTGTGAAGATGGAAAATGTTGTAAATCTGTACTGTCAGACATAGTAATCACTACCCACATGTGGCCATTGAGCACTTAAAATTGGGTTAGAGTGCTTGAAAATCTGACTGTTAAATTTGATATAATTTTAAATAATTTAAACCTAAGTATTCATAGAGAGCTAGCACAGTCATATTGGAGAGCACAGACCTATGGTTATTACTACAAGGGGTCAAAGAAAAAAGCACAATCAGTAAAACACAATGGAAGAGCCAAAAATATGGAAAAAACCTTGATGGTGTCATAGAACTCAAGTAGCAAGTGCTCTATGGCTCCCAAAACTACAAGAATAATAAGGGAGAATAAAGCTGGCCAAATCTCACCAGGAGCCGTGTTATTGGTTTTGTGATTGGGAAAAACCTGAATTCAAACAACAAGGATTAAGAAAATCACAAAACAACCCTTTCAAAGGCAAATTATCTGGCCATTAAAAATAATGGAAAAATATTAATAACATAGAAGATGTTTATAGTATATCATTAAGTAAAAAAGAAACTCATAGCCTGGTCACAACTTTATAACGCATACATATGTCTAGATCTTTGGGGTTGTGGGTTTACAGGTAACTTTTATTCTTTGCCTTTTATTAATTTTCAGAATTACCTACCTAGAACACAAAATTTTTATAATAGGAAATGAAGGAATAAATGCTATACTTCAACAGTAAAATGGCAGCATCTTTTCACACTGCACAATGAGCCGAATAATCGTAAATACAGCTACTAAAATATTAACCACACTACATTTCTAAAGTTAGTAAGAGTCACTCTCAATTTTCTCCCAGTCTCTCTAGGCACACACTTACTAACCTAGATTTCCCCACTGTCAGAAGTCTAGGAAAAGAACTAAAAGTTGCTCGGAGGCCTTTGCCTGTCTTGTAAGGTTGGGTTCATAAGATGCTTTAACTTAAAGTTATGGTTCAGGTACCACTAGGTGGCTCTCTGTGCCTGCGACCAGGCGAAGGCACATTGGATTAACCCAGGTATAGATTTCTCATTCATTATCAGGTGTACACTGAAGCAGTTCCTTATGTGTGTAACACAATGTGTGATGCGACTCAAATTAATTCTGCATACAGCACCAACATAATAACAGCTCTCTGTCTGTACCTATTAAATTCACCACACAGTGAAGCAAATTCTTTGTTTAATGAAATTCCTGTTTCAGTACCTCCATTTGGGACTAAAGAAATAAATTCCATAACTGAGCCAGATTGTAATTCTATTAGATAAAGACATGCTGAGCACCTAACTTTGTTTATGAAAATATATATTTTTAAAATTTTTGACCTAGAGAATATAAATAACTTTTGACTTCGAGTTGAGGTTTTCAAGACAAAAAAACAAACAAACAAAAGCCATGAATAGGTTATTTGCAGGTTGTGCAGCCATCACAGTGCTTGACACTGAAAGTTCAGCTAATAACCACCCCTCATGGACAGGAGAGCAGTGGCAACCCATTTCTAAGAATGCTGCTGGAACATCCAGACAGAGCTGTCTGTGTTTGGAACTGTGCACTCAGCCACTTTGCAGAGTGATGACAATATGAAGCTAGATTGCAAATAAAAAGGAAAAATCCCACCTTTTAATATAGAAAGACCAACTCAAAGTGCCCAAGCTTCAAAATTCCATGTCAACTCTGAGTTTTCGAAAACATTTTTTTTAAAAAAAATGTGCTTTCCTCTATTCTTTGACGCCAATGCCCAATTGGAGTGACAATAAGGCTTGCTTTAAATTTCGGCAACTGTTTCTAATTTTTTAAAAACATTATAGCCTCGAGAGATTAAAGGCATCAAAATGTTACCCACAGTGATCTGTGGACGCCATGGCGTAGTAGTGCATATACATTACGCTTGTCATCATAAAAGCAATATGCGCTTAACAAGTCTCTCAAAGTTGTATCAAACAGTTTGATATATTTGGCATTCAATAAAACAGCGTCTGCTTTATGGTTATCAATTTTCTATAAGCCTTAGTATATAAGAAGGCTACTGTCCCTTAAACCATGAGCTAACCTATGCCACAAGTCCGTTACATTAGTACAAATAAAGCCTGAATGTAAAGGGGGAAACTTCTGAATCTTCCATCACGTCAAGTTAGATGCTGCCCTTTCCAAGAACCCCTTTCTCCCCTAAGAAGCCTACAACATCCGTTGGGTCATGGTTACCAGTAAGTGGGGTCATTGTATCTTGAAAGACCCAAGTTCTATCTCTCTTAATATTTTTCTTTTGTCCTGCTGCTAAACATGTAAGCTGAATGAGAATCTGCCTCCCCAGGGTAAGCTGGGCCAGGTGGCCCTCTGTCTCTTTTTCACCACCTCTATGCATAAGTCTGTGTCACAGAGTGCATGCGTTTTTACTGCGGCTGTAACTGAGGACCACAAATTAGTGACTTCACAACACAAGTTTATTCTCTTGTTACTAATGACTGGAGGTCCTAAGTTTGATCTCAGTCTTATGGGCTGAAGTCAAGGTGTTGGCAGGGCTGCATTCTTTATGGAGCCTCTGAGGAAAGAATTCATTTCCTTGTCTTTTCACCTCTAGCAGCTGCCTTTATTCCTTGGCGAGGGCCCATTCTTCCACCCTCAATATGCATCACCCCATCTCCATTTTCATCATGACATCATCACAGTGACTTCGCCTCAGACAATTCCTGCATCATTTTTATGTAATTACATTAGGTCCAGCAGGATGGTCCAAGATAAGCTCCCTACTTCACAGTGTTTAATGTAAGCACAGCTGCAAAGTCCTCTTTACCACAGAAGGTAACATATTCGCAGGTTCTGGGGATTGGGACATAGAGCTCTATGGGAGACCACTGTCCACCCTCCCACAGCAAAGTAAGCCAGCTCCTGTCCTTCCAGAACCCATACCTCTGGTCCACCATCTTGTTTTTTTCTTGCCACTTCCTCCTTTTATTTGCCTGGATATAAGATGGTAGATATCAACAATTAGAATTAGAAAATGCTGCAGAAGCTTGAGGCTCAAGCCATATGCTCCAACTCAATATTTTTCAGAAGAGCCAAGCACCTGGGGACTAGACATTAATGCTTTTATTCACGAAGTGAGGCTGTTGTTTCCATTCTACTGTTCCGTAAGTTTAGGTCCTGGGAAGCTCCTCTGAGAAATCAGGGTGGGAGATAAGACAAGACTTGTGAATTCCTCACTAATACTAGCTAATAGGAATAGGACATTATTCTTAATCTCTCCTGTGACCGCTCCGGAGATCTAATCATTCAGAACCCCTATAAAGGAGCAACCAGTTGAAACGCGACCTCGAAAGTCACTTCATTGCTAACTTTTCACACACCTAACCGTCACTGGATTAGAACCCTAACATAAGTGGGGTTTCAAAACAGCGAACTTTTTCATTTTTTCTTTGGGTTGGCTCACTGGAACTGGATCTGCTAAGCCTAAGTATCACCTTCATATTGAACATACATATAAAAGAACTCTGGAAAAGCAATCTAGAATACTTGAGTTCTTATCCTAATTATTTAAGTTTTTATTAATGCCATGTCAACAGACCTACACTTTGTGCTAAAAGAATGATCATATCATAGTAAGCACACACAATACTCTGGGTACTTTGCTTAGAACTCTGCATACATGATGTTGTTCTCACCTTAACTCTATGAGATATTCACATTTGATGCACCACGAAATTGAGGCAAGGGTATCAAGCATGCTTCCCAAGGTAAGAATGTCTAGAAAGTTGTAAAGTGAAGATTCAAACATAGGTCTGGGCTTCTCAAACTGCCGGGGTCCAGCCCCAGCGGTCCAAGGGATCCTAAAGGTGTGGACGGAGTCGCGAAGAATGCTCTCTTTAGTCTCCGTGGATCTTCCTGTGCCTGGCTGAGGCCACAGAGAAATATCCCGAGGCCGCTGAGCCTTTATTTTATAGTCAGAGGTAAACAAGGTAGTGGTTACCATAGTTACACTGTTCTTGTGAGTTTCACTTGTTTTTTTTTTCTTGTGAGTTTTACTTGTTTTCTTGTTCTTGCTGCACTTCCCTCAGCCCATTAGCTTCCCAGATAAGATCTAGGGAGGGTCATAAGGTCAAGCCTAATTATGCTTAAGAGGACTGTGCCCTCTAAGCTGGGACTTGTTTGTGACTTTGCCAACAGGTCAGTCGGAGGCTTAATCCTATATGGGCTCACCACAAAAAACCTATTCTCGTCATTCTATTTCTCCCATTAATATGCTACAATTATCTCATTTGCAAAATAAGGATAGTAATACTATTTGTCCTGCTTACCTCACAAAGTAATTGTGAGAATAAATGGGGGGAAAATAAAAATGTGTATGAAAGGACTTTGATAAATTTAAACATATACTCTGCAATTTATTTTTTCTTGAACTCTATATTTTCATATTGAAGTATTGAACACGTTAGTAAGGAAATGTGAAGGTAGCTTATCTTTTTTACTCTTATTGTTTTTCATTGTGTAGGTAATACGTACTTATTTTTAGAGAAATAGAAGTATGGATAGGAAAAATGTGGGGTTCTACCATCTAGTTACAATCACTGTAATACTTTTAAAAAAAAATTCTACACTTTATATGGGGTGGGGCAAAAGTAGGTTTATAGTTTCTATGGAAAAATAATACAACTGTAAATCTACTTTCTCCCAGTGCTATATTTTACAGAAGTAATGTCATCTTTTACATAAATGTTTTTCTACCTTTCTGTCAATAAATATATTTTCATTTTGAATAAATAGTATTCCATTGTAAATATATATCATCATTTAATTCAATTCTCATTATTAGATATTTAGTGTGAAATTTCTTTTAACAATCAAATCTGGAAGTGGATCTTTCTTGTTTATTCTTTTCCCTCCCCCAGGATAACTCAAAAGCAGTGATGAATCCAGTCTACTTTTGGATTTTAGGCTGACAGATACACTAAATTTAAAAGGAGCTATTCGTCTTCTCCTTGTTGACAATGCATAGCTTTCTAGTACTCTGTATGTTATGTTGTCTATACACTGTTATCTGCCTCATAGGACTGCTAGGAGGATTATAGGAGTACATTTGTGAAGAAGCCTTAAAAAGCATACATGTTACACAAATATATATAATTGAATTTTTTTTCCTGTATCCATGTCTCACATGAGTAATAATGAGGCATATTTCAGCCTGACTAAAAAGAAGTCATCTGCTTAATTCTTTACCACTTGAACCTTTGAAGGCTCATTTCCATCAGTAGACTATCCTGGCCAACCAGATACTAGGCTTTCAGTGTCAGGGTTAACTACCAGCCCAGGTCAGTACCTGCTCCCTCAATGCATAAGATCGAACACAGTCTCCCCTGAAAGTGTCTGAATCTTACACATCCGGAATGAAATCTGATCATCTGGCTGAGGTGTTAGGTTGAGGGAAGAAGAGGTGGGAGGTGGTAGACAACTGGCTAATTCCTTGCTTACTTTTCCCCATCCCATAAAACAAAGACAAATGAGTGGTTTACAGACTTTTTCATTAGTTTCTTATTCATATGTCTCTCAAAAAGCAATGTGGCAGATGCTGAGTTTTAGAGGATTGTGTGTTCTTGCCTAGTTTTACAGAGTTGGCATCACATATCTGGTGCTGTACAGTTCCTCTACTCTCCTGTGTATGTCAATGGGAGTAGCTAGAGTGGTCAGGAGGAACAGCAATGAGATTCCCATGTCTACATTCAGTTGTGTCACTAAGATGAACAACACCTTCCTATAAGAAGCCCCATATAATTGTCTAAGGCAGTGGTTGGCAAACTGCGGCCCCTTGAGAGTGGCTCTTCCACAAAATAGCATGTGCGGGCGCGCACGTACAGTGTGATTGAAACTTCGTGGCCACACTCAAGGGGCCAAAGAGCCGCATGTGGCTCCTGAGCCACAGTTTGCCGACCACTGGTCTAGGGCAATGATACTCAATATACTGTAGCTGCTTTGCAAACTGTTATTTCTCCATACTGAGATAAGGAGCCTGTGCCAATGTGAACCATCGCACTGCTGTGGTGGTTCGAGAAAGACATGCTGTGAAAATAATGTCAGATGGGCCAAACAGTGTGCTTAGTGATACAGTAGGCGGCCTTGGGGAGAGAGAGAAGTTAGACTGTGTGGCCATAATCTCATGAATGATCTACTATAAGTGTGTCTATGGTGGAAACTTACTACCAATAAGAGACCAACCTTTCTGAAAAATATTGGGCATCTTTCTGAAAAACATTGAAGCTTCTATGGCAATACCTAAGGCTCTAGAAACTGTGTTAGAGGTATCATAGGTAAAATGTTGCCACTGGTACAGAACAGTACTCTATGGCATGTCTTCTATTCCTAGGCAAATATGCAACAAACTTAGGAACCCAGTTTTGTTTTGTTTTCCTTTATTTTGGGGGTGTTTGTGTGTGAACCCACTTTTTTTTTTAAAAAAACACACACATTAATTTTATTGATTTTTAGACAGAGAGGAAAGGAGAAGGAAAGAGAAACATGATATGTGAAAGGGAAACATCCATTGGTTGCCTCCCACACGCCCCTCCCTTCCAACAGGGATTGAGCCTGCAACCTAGGCATGTGCCTTGACCAGGAATCAAACCATGGAGACGATGCCCAACTAACTGAGCCACACTAGCCAAGGCTATCCTATTGAGCCTGCAACCTAGGCATGTGCCTTGACCAGGAATCAAACCATGGAGACAATGCCCGACTAACTGAGCCACACTAGCCAAGGCTACCCTTTTTTATTTTTTAAAGGATCCACTGAGCCAAACTGGTTTCGGCACTTTTTTATTTTTTAAAGAAAAAAATGAGGAAGTGGGTAGAGAATAAGATGGATGAAGAAGACATGTGAATCACATCCCACTTTGATTAATAACTACTAAGGGAGAATTAGTGGAGATTCTGACTTGGGTGATTCTTATCAGACCATAACCAACCTCTCTACTAGGTATTTAGCTAACACTATACATTTTCCACAGAACTTCACTTCATCATTTGATTCACAAAACAACTCTGTTGGATGGTAAGGTACCTTCTTTTGACAGGTAAGCATAGATGCTCAGAGACAGAGACAGCTGCTTAAGATTAACTGGAGAGTAAGAGGTAGAGGTAGACTGAAGAGTCCTTTTAACCAACATGCTTAGAATCTAATTAGGGGTATTCATGAAATAAAACCTTATGGCACAAAATCCATGGTGCTTTCTGCAACAGCAGAAGAGAACACATTAAGGAATTAGACACTGAAATTGGTTTTCAGATGATTCAGATACTTAGCTCAGCTGATTCAATCATAAGTTAACTCCAAGATATAATAGTCAAACAAGATCAAGATCAAATCCTCTTTATGACTACATTGTGGCAGGCACAAAGAAAAGGGGGTGAGACAGACTAATTGCCTAATGAGTACTGTCTGCTAGCCTCCTCTTTTCTATGTATCTGGAAAAATAAATTAATGTTATAAAGAAAAATTCCCGAACTAACAATAAAAATTTCCAAATTAATCCCAGGTCTCAGTTCTTCAAGAGGAACCCGTAAAAGATCACTGCTAAGAAAAGTTTTGCATCACTTGACATTTAATTTGAAATCGTTTATCTTCAAGTCAGCAATAATTAGGTGCTGCTATCAGCCATTCATCATGAAATGTAGAAAAATACATTTCCTCCAGAGAGAGAGCAGTGCGTAGCAGGAGCGAGTCAAGGAAAGCCAACACAGTTGAGAGCAGATGTTTTAAAAATAAATGTCCTTTACTTATCCCCTCATGAGGTACCTCAGTTATGTAGTGGTATCATTGTTCTGTCCCCTGTACTGTACAAAAGTGGTGCTGTGCTAGCCAAATTCTAATAAAAAGTCTTCAGTACTTAGCCTTGTATTGTCAAAGAAAATGGATCATCTAAAGCACTTGTATTTCTAAGGGAATGAACATATGTTAATTAGTTAGTATATATGGCTCAATGAGACATACTATTTGTGGATGGTACACCCAACAAGAGTTGGAAATTGTAGTGTAGTCACTTTTTAATTGCATGTGTTTGGATCTAAGCCAATTACATTACTCCATTAACTTTGCCTAATGGAACCAATATGGAATTAACATGAGATATATGTTTTAGAAAGAAATGTATATCTGGCACTACCTTAGCAGGTAAATTTTAAGGAGTGTTAACCTAACTTTGGAGAAACTATACAAAACCCCTACAAGAAACAATACTATGGGGAGGGAAGAGAAAGAACAACTATAGAAACTTAATGTGACTTGTATGTAAATGTAACTGGATCCATATGCAACATCATCACTTGAAGGTCACAGAACTAAGAAGCGATCATCTTAATAAAATAAGTTAGCTTCAAGTAGAGATTTGAGTCTGGTAGTCAAGTCAGATTTTATTTTTTATGGAAAGGTGCTTTGACCCTATCCTGTGTGTAATGTTGCTTTAAGCTTTTATTATGTTGTGCTAATATACATATGGTTTCCAAAAGTGCGTAGTTAACTATCTTACTTTTCAGTGGATTTCCCTGCTTGAATGAAGTTGATTCCTTCCAAGCTGATAATCTGTTTATGTTTTGAATAAATTTCAAGTATATTGAAATAAAACTATTATGCTTTTCTTAGAGAGTGGATCATGTCAGCGGTTTCTCCTTCCATTCAGAAGTTGTGGTAGGTACCATAAGAACCATTATGCAGTAATTAAAGGCTTTATGTGAAAGAAATCAGCAGCTCAGATGAGAGAGAAAGCACTGTTGCCGCTCCTGCTCTAAAGCAATTTTGATTTGTCTAAATGTGAGACACAATTTTACATCATTGGTTGTGTGGACAAGTCTGCTTTCTTCTCGAATCCTTTGTTCAGGCACTGGCACAATCAATAACCTGGGTCACTGGGCAGTAGACTCTAATGAGGACAGTGGCTACATTAAGTCTATTTTATTTAATGTGTAAAATGAGTTCAACATTCTCTTCTATTTAGATAATTTTAAAAAATCACATCAGTATATTAGAGAAAGGTCTACTTTTGAGGAGAAGCAAGGGAAAGATTAGTTTTTGTTTTTGCTGAAAGCAGATTATGGTCATATCCTAAAATTATATATTACAATGACTTGGCATTGAGCTGGACATTCTTATTATACAACATTATAGAATGACATTTAAATGATATATTAAAAGTAAGATGAGTTAGATATGTTTGAATTTAAGATAAATGAAATAAAATGTCCTCAGTTGGACAGAGTAGATCTGAGTTAATATCATAATCTTTGCCTTTCAAGCTGTGTGCCATGAAAGTAACAGTGACAACAGTGACTTAAAGTTTCTGAATTGAAATATAGAAGGAAATGTGCTTAGCAGAGTATTTATTTTACTGTCTGCTTGTAGAGGTTGTCCCTAGAGGACTTTGTTCCCCCTCGGGGTCCTAAACTTTGAAGTCTACTGATGTTAGATGCTGCCTCATGGTTGCTCTGGCCCCCTTGTTGCAATGTGCTGTATACTGCACAGATCCATCCTGGAACACAGACAATTTTCCTTCTAACTAAGGAACGCTAATTTTGGGAAAAATTCTTGCTATTGAAGATGCTTGCCAAACAATCTACAAATGGAGAGGAGTCTGGAGACTGTGAACAGTACTGGCAACGTATGAACTATTAGATAATAAAGAAGCAATGAAGAGAAACAAGTGATGCTGACTCTAGCATTTCATTAGATCTGATCTTGCATATAGTAGATTAATAATGATACACCCTATGGATGCAATTTCATGTTTGTAACACTTTGGCCATTGGCAGCATTGTGCACCTGTGTTTTCTATGCCTTCCCATCTGCTGCCTACAGTCATTCAGATTCAGGTGATGGAAATATTTTAGATAAAAGTTAATTAGCCTGCACTCTGCAGATTAAATCTCCATAGTTCAGCATCAAATAGGAATCTTCTGGGCAACTGCTGAAAGTGACTAGTGCCTGCCTTTCCCAAGATTAAAAATGTAAGATTCATTTTTCTAGAAAAATAAATCTTGAGTACTTTCTTGACATTTTATGCATGGATTCTATCAAACTTTTGATATCTGTCCTTACTCATTTACATACATATATATTTTTTTTTCCCCTTAGTTTCTCAGCCTCTACAATGGGACCAATACCAATTACCTATTTGTTTCATAAATACTTTGTGCAAGGCTTAATGAGCCTTGATATTTTGATAAAAATAAGGCACAAAATGCATACAACTTCTATTGCTTAAAGGACCCCGCCCTCCCTTAAATATTTATCTCATCATCATCGTTAACAGCTAAGTTTACAAATAGCTTCTTTTATTGAAAATGTTTGATTTTTTTTTAACCCAGAGGAAACTTCCTTTATTTCTAGATAATTGGAGCAGAAATGGGCTGAACAGAGCATCTGCATACAGCCAGCCTCTGGGCCCACATCACACAGAAAGAAGACAGGGACAAAGACATAATCCCAAATGCCTCATCCCATCCATTTTCATGCGATCACATAATAGCCGAGACTAATTAACCACCCTTCTTTACCTCTTGCTTCTGGTACTAGTTACAGATTTCTTATTTACTCAAGCAATTCAGAGGGATGTGCTTTCCTCCTGACACCATCGCCTATGGCTCAAGCACATCTTCTAAGTCAAAGAGAGCAGATGCTGCTCTTGCCGCCACATGCTCTCCGAATTCCTCCAGGGAGTGAAACTCTGGCAGTCGCGGATCCTCCATCGCCCCACAACCCCCCCTTCCCCCCAAGCTAGTCAATAGAACCCGGATCCCTCTCCAAGATCTTAAACTTAGACTTCCACTTCTTCCGGCACTTTTTCCCATTTTTGCTTTAAGTATTTTTCTTTTACTTCTATCTACCAACTACCGAGGTGGTCCAATCCCTAAACAGTGTCAAAGTTGAAAATCCATAAGTCCTTCAGGACTTTCCCGTCCCCTTTCTCCCCCAGCAACCCC